AAAATAGACAGGGGGAGATTAAGAATAGCATAGAAAATGGAGAAGCCAAAAAACTTGTACATGTGACCCACGGACATGATCTAAAGGCGGGGAATGCTGGTCAGAGGGAGGTGCAAGGTAGAGGGAAATAAAGGGGAGAAAATGGGACAAGTATAATAGCATAATCACTAAAATATATTTTTAGAGTAATCTGGTGGTATAAAAATATATTGGAATGGTAAACAGTGAATATCATTTTATAATACTGGTGATATCCTCTGGAGGAGAAGGGAAGGCTGAATGGAAGGTTATATAAGAGCCTTCACCTACTTGATAATATTTTGACTAATTTTGGTAATAGGTACATTGTTGTCCTAATAATCTTTCTGCATTTTGTTTGCTGGAATATTTTATAATTGTGTATAAGTGAAAGAACTGTTTTGAAGTCCTAGATCATGCACTATTCTGGATGCCATACTTCAGAAAATATTTAAACAAATTAGAGACTATTTAGAAGAAAGATTTAGAAGATAATGACCTAAACAGTAATGAGACTGGAGACCCTGATACAAGGTTGAATGGGCTGGGGAGGGTTAGCCAGATAGAAAGAGGGATGAGAGGAGATCATTTGGCACAGCAAGGTACATGACAGATTATGAAAATATTTGAGCAATAGTACTATGCAAAAAGGAATAGATTTGTTGTGTATGACCACAAGGGAGAGATTTAGTAAGAGCTATCCAGAGATAAAATGGCCCACATATCTATACTGGTTCTTCCAAGTTTATCTTGAAGGACTGCTTAACATGATTGTCTCCAAGGAATATAAGTGAATTTGAATAACTCCAGAGTTTTCCAGTACAATTAATGGGCTTAAAAAAAAGTGGTAAACTGTATAACACTTTCAGCTGGTCAGCACCTTCCCTCATATGGAGCTTGTTCAAGGTGTTCTCCAGGCTGGTCGTTCCCGTAGCACTGTGGGTCTGGAGATGTGACTTACCCATCAGCATAATGCTAAGTGCCTGAGGACAAATGCCAAGATCTGAAGGAAAATGCTGATCCAGCATTTTAGATCACAGTAGATCATTAAGAGGGGTTGTCAGATGTTATAGAATCAAAGTCTAGAAAACAAAATAAGTCAAGTTGTTGATTTTAATGACTAACATAAGACCGAGTCTAATATAGCTAAATCTAATATGGCTAAGTCCAGCCACATAAGACAATGGGCTCTTCTTGCCAGTCTAATGCTTAGTTACACAGCTAACTTGAGCTTGTGTGAAGGGCTCATAGTTAGCAATATTTAGTGTTATGTTAAGTGGGGGAAGTAATGCAGAAAAGGAAATGTGTCATTTTTGCTGAGAGCGTGTCCCACCTAAAAGACAGAGCTATAGTATGGAAAAAAATACTGAGGCTGGAAATGAAGGGAGATGTTGTTGCAGGGGCATTTGAGTTTGTGAGCAAGTGCAGTGGTCCTGTGACTCATGGCAGAGATGGCAGGGAGGGACGTGCTGAGGATTTCAAATCAAATAAGAGACCAGCAAAAATCCTGATGGGCTGCATTATGAAGTTTAAATAGTTCTATGCTTTAGCTATATTTGGTCTGGTTGTAGTAGTTCACCAACACCCCATGGGTGAAGGAACATCCCAGTATAGAACTGGCTTTCTGCCAGGCACTGCTGCCCAGACACATTATCTTTACTAACTATACTATTGTCAAAGGATTTCCTAGGATTAGGTCTTTTATTCTGTCTCCTGACATTCTGGCTTGCAGAGTAAAGTCAGACACTTTTGCCCAGCATGTAATGCACATATTAGCATGAAGTGGTCCATTTCAAATGGCATGACCTGAGTCCATCCATGGTTGTCTAGGTATATCATGCATGTCCTTTAGGAGAAGGCCCAAATGTTTCAAATGTGACTGTGATCCCACTTGTTTCTGCACAGAATTGGCCTAGGCTGGGATTAACTTCTAGAAGAATCATAGAGCAGAGATTTGAAAACTTAGATGTGCTTCTGAAAGTGGTTTTCTCTAGTGATGTTTGAGGTTATTATCAAAGTTAATGGAGAACTAGGCTGGGTTTGAGTAGGTAAGGTTTTGAGCTGAGATGAATCAGGTTTTCAATGACTGTGAGGCCACAGTCACGTGTAGCTACCAGTAATTCCCTTTTCTCCACATAAAGAATTCCCAAAGTCAAGTCAGGTTAGATCAGTCTGTGGCTGTCGAACTTGAGCACGCATCAGATTCATCTGGAGGGCTTGTTAAACACAGATTTCTGGGTCCTGTCCACAAGAGCTTCTGATTAAATAAGTCTGAACTGGAGCCTGAGAATGTGAATTTCTAACAGGTTTTAGATGATGATGCTTAGTGTAGAGAATACACTTGGGGAATCACTGAGATAAAGAAATAAGAAAAAAAACCCAACCAGAAAACCATAGATATCACTGGTAGCCAGGAAAAAAAACCTTAGAATAACCTGGAGTTCTTTATTTTGTCAGGCATTTTTATATTAAAATTACAGTCAGTTTCTCTGACATCACTGGATCATCTAATTTGGACAAAACATGTTGACCCAGCTACAATACTGCACCAAGAGTTCACTGAAAAGTCATATGTGTAAAGAAATCTTTCCATCCAGAAATCCAGGGAGTATACCCTGGAAGACTCATTGGAAGGTGAGATGTTGGGCCAGGTGAACAGTATCACCCAATACATAAACCACTTGAGATGTTTATACAAAGAATAAGTGATGTCATCACTTATTCTTTGTTCTGTTTTGACCAAAGCTGTAGATTCTATGAAATTCTTATTTAGTCAAGCCCAGTGTTTTATAGAACTAATCAGTAGTATGAATTAGTAAATATTTTTAGGCACTAGTAATCCTAAAAATTTCCAGTGTCCTTGGTAGAGTTGGCCTAAGGTACTGCCAGTTTAGTTAGTGCCTTTGCACTTGCAGAAAGCCTTGGTTTTGAGCAATGAGAGTGACTGTGTCTGCTTTGCTGGAGCTCAGATACTAGATCTAATGTTCAGTGGCACACTTGCTCTAATTACACAGAAGCAGGTCTCTTGCCTCTTTGTTTTTTTGCAAAGTTAGATAACTTTTAGATAACGAGGAAGAGGTGAAGTGGAGACTTAATGAAGTTATAATTAGTGCTGGTGGTAAAATTTCAAGGTATAGAAAAGGATATGGGGGCGTGGGTCTTAAGTCATTATTGATGAATGCCTTATTTCAGTTATTTATGTATGTGCTAAGTTCTCTTCTAGGAACAGAGAACACAGCAGCAAACAAGCCAAAGCCATGTCCTCAAATGGCTAACATCTTTAAGCAGAAGCAGATAAAGATAAGGGGGAGTTTTGATAATGGATAAAGGAACCCATTCACTTTTTTTTTTTTATATATCTTGACAGGCTTTCCAACATGCAGCTCAATGGGCACGGGACTTTGGGGTAAGAGTTATTAATTTTCACAAGTGAGTTTAGTCAAATGTGCCTCTTAGTTTCCTGTACAGGAGCATGGTCCGTGAAGCTACATAATGTCCTTAAATCCCTCTGTCTTCAACTAAATGGAGGAGGGGATCCCTTTTAAATCCATGAGCACAAAGCCTCCTTTTCCAGAAGGCTTCAGTACAGACATGGGGATTGGGCTGGATTGTTGGACAAAGCCAGAAAGTGCATGGGAACAGAGGGCAAATCTCATCACTGTCCAGTAGGTATAATCTTTCATAGCTAGTATGAAAGATTAGGAGTCGACATAAAAATCAAGAGTGGGGAATAAAGTGCTCAGTGGAAATTGTAAAGTGAGGGAAAAATGACTATAAAGATTTATGCCCAAGAATGAATACAATAGGATATATTCTGGATGAATTCCAGAGACAAAAGTAGATATTCAAGGCTAGCTTTTATAAGCTTTTAGTGCATTCTTATTTGGGCAGGGAAGATCCTTTTAAGGAAGCCAGAATGAAGCAAATATACTAGGAATAAAAGCAAGCAAAAGTAGAGTAGCAGAAAAGAAAATAGGACTTAATTGATGCACTGAGAAATAGAATGGGTGTATATTTACTGAACGATTAATACATGTGCATTAGGGTTCTCCAGAGAAACAGGACCAACAGATTTTTATATATATAAATAGAGAGAGAGAGATTTACTATAAGAAATTCTTTCATATTCCACTACCCAAAGTCTGATATCCATCAGGTAGGGAGTATATTACTCCCTCACAAAGGCATTGCAAGTTCTAAAGCAGTGAGCAGAGCTATAGAACATTTCTTAGAAGGAGGGAACAATAAGACCATCTATCAGGTCCTCCAGAAACATGGCATGCTTCGATGTTTCCTATAGCCCTGGACCAGAAGTGCTACACAGAACTTGAACTTACATTGCAGATTCATATGGCATCATCTAGATGCAGGTGGGGCTGAGAAAGGCTGTCTGTGGCTGTGCAGCCACTTTTGCACTTGCCAACAACAACTCTATGTTATGCAAAGGGGAGTAAGAATTTTGGTAGACAGCTGGCCATCTCTGGCATAAAAGTCATCTCTTATCCTTAATCTTACGAATTAAAAAAAAAAAACATCAGGCTGCTAAAAGTTAGTAACTTGCCTAAAAATGACCTAACATCTGTTTGGAGGTATTATATCAAAATCATCAAAAATTCAGTCTCTAGAATCATAGAGACTGCATTTGGAGAGTAAATGTTCAATAAATAATGTATTCTCGCCTCCATAATATTGTAGAACTCTTGCTAGACAGCTAAAAATTTACCTTATCATCTGCAGCTCAAAAGTTGCAAAACACTGGCCTACAGGTTCTTTAAGTTTCCTTTCAATGCACAAATTCTTTTTTCATTCCATTTATTTTGCTTGAACTCTACTGTGTACCTGAAACTGTGTGAGGCAGTGGAGGGACAGAGATGAAAGAGCAATGGTCTAGCTCTTGAGGAGTTGAAGTCTAAACAGCAAAACAGAGATGATATCAGCATCTATTTTTGATACCTAGGAGTAGAAACACTGAACCAGAAATGTCCACAGTGCTGAGAGGCTTGACGATTCCTCCCTGTGGGACGGCGTTCACACTGAACCCCTAAGCACCTAGACCCTGCTGGGGTGACCTGTTAAATTCCTGGTAAGTTGGGTCTTTCCCTTGGAATATATTCTTGGTCATTAGCTCTTGACTTCCTCTTTGTTTTTAGCCTGCCCTAGGAAGCTGTCTTTTCCCCCATTTCTTTTTCATACCCCTACCACCTCAAATTTTTTAATTTAAAAATGATTGATAATTGGTGCTTTATTCTAGAAAGTTTGTGACTTACTTTTCTATTTCATTGGTCTTCTTCCTTTCACCATGTCTTAGCCAGAGTTTTGAAAACTAGTCTTTGGAACTCTGGAAGGGTTTGGTATGTTCTGTGGAATCTCAGTTTTTGGCAGAAGCTTTTTTTACTCAATGTCTTTAATTCACTGATAAATTTTAAAATTAATATGTTTTATCAAAACAACTACCTTCTAACTGATGGATGCCTTACAATCCCAGCGCCAGAGCCTGTGTTTGTATTCGTGATTGGTTTACCTCTAAGGGCATTATGGAATGCTCACTGGCCAAACGTTTCAAAGTTATAAAAGTATAAGAATGGAGGAAAGTGGTGGGAGAATTGGCTCACTGCACAGACTATGATGTTGTAAATGTGAAGAATTAAAAAAGAAGAGAACAACCTATATATAGCACAGTGCTGGTGTTCTGCTTATTATACAAGTACAGGTATATCATTCAGATATTAACTAGGAAAACTCACTAACAATCAATATGCTATAAGGAATTTGCTATCTTAATAATTGGATTAAATACTAACACAAAGATTTTATAAATGCCACAATGTTAAACTTATCTTAAAGAATTTATAGTACTGAAATTTCATGAATATTGTTCCAGGACCATTCATTTCTGGGAAAATTTTGATCCCACAGAAGACTGTTTATCCTAAGCTAGGAAACAAAATCATACAGAGGAGGATATATATTTTTTCTTGTACTGTTATTGTTGAAGTCAAAATATAAAAATGGATTATGTATAGCGCCTGACTTGAGGTTACATCCTTGCATATTAAAGCCTATGTCAGCAATATAGTTCCAGTAAAACAACATTATTTATTGTTTTAAATTTGTGCTATTAATTTGAATTATAATGATTTTGTTAGTATTTTGTCAATTTACTTTTGTTTTTTAGTTGAATAGGAGTTGTGAGCCCATATTTCTTTTACATTCATATAAAATATGTGCATTTAAAAATATATAATAAAATAATGTAAGGCAACAAGGAGAGGAGTCTCTGTGAACACAGCTTTCCCCTTACAAGGAGAACGTACCTTATTCAAGCTGTGGAAACACTGCATTAAGCCATCAAAGTTCTCAGAGTTCAGAAGTTTCAGTCTTTAAATCAACACAGACTGAGAATGAAGGTCTGAAGACACTGAGGCAAAATAAGGACAATGTGTTAAGATTTGAATCATACTTAGAAATACTGCATTTAAAGGAATGTCCATTAGGAGATGGTCCTACTTTTTTTGAGGATTAAAATGGTCCTGTAAAATGTTGGTGACAACATATGTCGGGCCTACTTAATGCTTTTACTTGACAAAATGTTACCAGTTAATCATGTCCCACAGCTGTGAACTCCAGCTTGTCTCGGTGCTCTGCAGCCCGCTGGCATCTGTGATCTGTCTCTGGTGTTCTGGCACTTGTACCACTCAATTCAGAACCTTTGACTTTAGACGGCTGCCTCATCCATACAAGAGATTGCAAATCAATCATCACAAGATGGTAGAGCCCTTTACTGTAATTGGGACCAGTAGTTGGTTGGGTAACAGAAACAAAATAGATTAAAACAAGAATACTTAAGGTATGATACTCCTGTTCCATAATTATTTTTCTCACTTAATACAAATAAATATATGTTAATTAACCAATATTTTGATGTGGAGCCACAGAATTATGGGTGTATCGCTGGGTATATAAGTTACATCCAATTTCAAATTCTTTAAAGTGGAGCAGGAATTTAAAGGCAGTTGCCACCCTGGCTGGTGTGGCTCCATGGATTGAGTGCCGGCCTGCAAACTGAAAGGTCGCCAGTTCAGTTCCTGGTCAGGGCACATACCTGGGTTGCGGGTTGGGTCCCAGGTTGGGGCATGTGAGAGGCTCACACATCAATGTTTCTCTCCCTCTCTTTCTACCTCCCTCCCCCTCTCTCTAAAAATAAATAAACAAAATCTTTAAAAAGGACAATGTTTAAACAAACAAACAAATAAAGACACTTACTGCCACCCTGAGTACAGATTCATTTCAAATTCCTTTATCCACTTTTTAATAGTTGTGTCATGTATATCTATTTCAACAGGATTTTTTTGGCTTAGCTTTATTAAGTTTTTAAATCATTCATTGTCTTTCATAGAAACAGCTCCTTTTATATCTATACTTTATTAGTATATTTAATATCTTAAATATACAATTGTAAAAAAATAACAATCCATAATTGTGGCCCTAGCTGGGTCTCAGTTGGTTGGAGCATCATCCCATACAGCTGCGAGTTCGATCCCCTGTCAAGCCTACAGCAAGCCTCTTGGCAGAGGACCAAACCTCTCAGGTCTCTTTTCTGTTCACAGCATCTTTACATCACAGGTACAAATAATTGCTTGTTCAGTTGAACTGAAACAACTGACAGACTACCAGAAAAAAGAGTAGAAATATATTTAATAAAGTGACCAGATTCTTCTGATCAATTACTAAATATTTATTCTATAGTAAGTATTTTGAAGGATGGATGGTATAAACCTTCAGTCTTAGTCACAATGAAATAAACTATGAGTACTGGGAGTACTGGAGGCAACCAATAGATGTTTCTCTCTCACGTCAATGTCTCTGTCTCTTTCTCTTTCTCTCTGCCTCTTCCTCTCTTTCTAAAACCAATAAACATACCCTTGGGTGAGAATTTTTTACAAACCCATAATTGCTGTAACTAGTACAGTTGGATGAAAGGGCTTTGGGAACCAGCCCAATTGACTCATGTAAACAAACAGATCAGTTGGTGAGCAGGATGAGGGCAGAGTGAAGAGTAGAATCATTAAGCCTAAGTGTTGTGAGCATCAGTCTGCATGTTTTATAGAGAAGAGCATCATCTACTTTGGCAACCTGATTAAATGGAAGTCAGTCAAAAAAATTGCGCACAATATAACTTGTGTGGAAAAAGATTTAAGTACCAAATGGAAGGCCAAAAAAGAGAGGAACTGACTGCCTGTGATTCTAGACCTCTTTAATCCTTGATTAAACAACAAAGGAAACCAAAAATAACTTAAAGTTTTTATTTCCGCATCTTCACTAATTAAAATATTAGTAAATTATTCCAATACAGATGAGATCAGGCACATTCAGGGTAGTATGGCTGTAGACTAATTATTCCAATACAAAGTTGATCAGGATTTATACTTTTCCCTTAAATTTGGAAGAAAATATATATTATATTTGCTCTTATTTTTTCTGAGTTATCAGTAATTCAGATGTCAGATGTTGTTTTTAATTATATGATGTCCTGTTTGTGTAGAGTTAGCACTTCCAGCAAAAGATTTTTCATCCCTGCAGAAAGGGCAACTTCTGCACTCTGACTACACAGGTTTCATTGTGAATGTTTTCTCCTGCTGATAATGTTTTCTCCAATTACCTCTTTTTCTTTACCCATTCTTGGCACCAGTCAAGTATCTTCACCTTATTCTTCCCTCCTGGCTCCAATTATTGCTGTTTTCCCTCCTTATCAGAACTCTTGAGCACTGTGACATTTAAGGATACCCTATCTTGGATCATTCACTGCCCATTTTATGTGTTTATGTCCTGGGTCTCAAAAGCCTACAGCAAGCCTCTTGGCAGAGGACCAAATCTCTCAGGTCTCTTTTCTGTTCACAGCATCTCTACATCACAGGTACAAATAATTGCTTGTTGAGTTGAACTGAAACAACTAACATACTACCAGAAAAAAAAAGTAGAAGTATATTTAATAAAGTGACCAGATTCTTCTGATCAATTACTAAATATTTATTCTGTAGTATTTTGAAGGATGGATGGTATAAACCTTCAGTCTTAGTCACAATGAAATAAACTATTTCCTCAATAGGAGCACAGAGAAGTTAGTCTATTTTAAGGCAGACTTACTGAAATAGAAATTCAGATGGTTCATTTATCTTCCTAGGTTAAGTGCTGAAAAAATTTGCATACTACTACTGCATAAACAAATGTAAGGAAGGCTGTGGCATGCTTCCTTTTATTTGGTTAGAGTAATGCCTGACACATAAAACAAGTTCATTATCATTGTCCTCTTCATCCCCACTGCAACCAAAACAAGAGCATTAGAACATGAGTTGATTGCTTTTACTCAACAGTGAGAATAGTTGAGCTTAGATTTGGGATTCTCAACAATAAAAGCCTAAATAAAATTTTTTTTATATTGAAGAATGTTCTTTACAAGTTCTTCCTCCATCTGTTTCACTTGTTTGCTAAAATTAAAAGGATTTTCCTCTGCTTCCTCTTCTTTCAGAGCAATTTTCTCCTAATAGGAACAGAATGTAATGTAGCCTAATATATCTTCAATGCAAACTCCAGGACTCGATTGAAACTTCTGATAGAAAAACTCATTTCTTCCCCTCTCTCTGTGACTCTAAAGACTTCCTATTTCTTGAGTCACTTTTAAGATTACTCTCTTTTTAATATTTAGGTATTCTGGCTCAAGGTCACAAGGCATGCTAATACACAAGGGAGCCATTTTACATGCTGTTTTCCTTGTTCCATGTGGTAGTAGTAAAACCAGAATGACAATTGTATTTCCTATTTCAGTTCAAATCTATGCATTTTGTTCTTCTGGGTAGGAGGAGTACTTCTGGGGAAAACATTAGCGTTAGCCTTTGGAGCAAGTGTGCCATTGATCTCGTGATAAGATGACTGGAAGAGACTGATATGTTAATATAGAAGACGTGGATTTTCCTTCCTTCGAGTCCCTCTCATGCCACCACTATTGAGAACCCTTCTTTGGTAGGGAGAACTTACTAATGACTTGTGCAATTGGAAGGGGGTACCTACAGGTGAGCACAGAGGATG